GCATGTGCTTGCTGGCGGACTTCCGGGTCCAATAGAGAGGCCATGACACATCAACATGAAGTGGCTGTTCCGCCGAGCTATAATAACGTCATTCGGGTCTTCCATACAACAACAAATCGAACCCCGTCAGGATACAGCCTGCTCCTGGGTGCTTGGCATTAGGCAAATGGTCCGGAAGGGCGGTTGCTTGGTCTGACCAAGACCCGTTGCGGCAAGCCCGTTTTAGGGTCGGTGGCAACCGGCAAGCTGTCTTTGTGACCAGCTGGGGGCTAATGACTAAAACAGAGTCCAGAAATTCGCCTTTCTGTTGGATGAGGAGTGGAAAATGTACACAAAGTTTTAGGAGATGAAGTCAATTTAAATTTGTTCTGGGCGCAGAGCCGACTTGCCAAGATCTTCAGAAATTTCCCAAGGTCTTGCGAGGAAGTGCAATACCCAGACGGTTGCTTCAGTAGTATGTCCACCCTGTGTAATGACATCCGGAAATCACAGCAATCAAGAATTTCCCCTACAACGAACAATTTATCATTTATTCTACTTTCCTTCTAAGAGTTTTCAAGTTACATCTAGGGCCTTTGCGGTAGGATTTCAGTTTTGTGCACGTGGTTTCATAACAATCAATAATTGACGTGTGAAAAAGCTGAAAACTTAAACTTCCTCAAATTAATTTAGCGCTTGTGTGAATCTGTAATCACTTGACCACAACACCACTTGGTCACGATTAATCCACTTTCCACGAGTGGTGGGCGAGTGGACTTATGTATCCGAGATCTACGGTTCGAACCCAAGTGCACGCACTTCTCAACAGCTCCTAACCTCCCCGCGGCCGCTAGCCGCCCCCTACGTCCAGCCGATCCATCGGTGGCTAGACGGCTAGTCACCAATACGACAGCGGGGCGGAGCGAGGGCTGATAACCTACGGGGCGGGGACACGGGGGCGGGGGGTAGGGGAGGTCATGACTGGTCAGCCACGTGCAAACAACCCTCGGCCGCCCATGCCCCGCCCAGAGACCACCGGAGCGGCGCCGCGCGCACGGAACGCGAGCAGCCGCTGGAGCACCACGGGCCACCGACCGCACTGCCCGATGGCCCATATCTATCTTTCGGTTGAGTGGCATCTGGTACTCAGTGTTGTTTCTGATCACCGTTTCCATTTTTTTTTGGGGGGGGGGGGGCAGTACATTATAAAACCAGCAGCTGTTTGGTATTTTGACTGACTAAGCCCTAAACGCGCTGCGAGATTTTCGTGATATCGCGGACAAGGCGAACAAACACGTGAGTCCAAATCTTACTACATGTTAGCTTACAAATGCTAGAGTTTGGTCTCACAAACAACATCTTGCAAACCCAGCGCAAGGATAGCACCAGAATGTTTTATGGACGGCTCTTTGTCTTATGTACGTTGTACATCAAAGTAAATGATATTTGATCCACATCAGATCCATGTATGAACACAAAACGAAGCTTCAAACGACACAACACCTCCGTGTTTTGGCTGTTGTTTGCAAACAAAGACAAAGCAAACTATGGTGTCCCTTGAACCCAGACACCAGTGGTCCAGTGGAACCAGTGGTCAAAATACCCCACATAAATGCATGTATATGGCAGATCAACCTTTGCACTAACAGCTTAAATTTTACCCGCCAGCCCCCGTAGTCCCATCCGGTCACACCTTTTCTGAAGAAACATAAAACATGTTTTGGCATGACTGTCGAAACATGTTATTATATAGCATCTTCCAAACATGTATGTGTTTCAACATGATTGCCGAAATATTTTTTCACATCTCGCCGGAAAAGACGTGATTAGATGGGAGCATGGAAGCTGACGGGAAGAATAACTATAGTTGTGAAGACGATCAATGGCCTTCACCAACGGAGCACGGCGCCACCGCACCCCTACGGCGAGTCCGCACGGCGTATCACTCCAACGTACCAGGCGGAAGTTCTCGCCCGCTTCAAGGGCGGACTAATCGTCATCACGGCCATAGGCATACGGAAGGATTTCCCGTTTCCAGAGAGAACACATGATCATCACTGCCACGAGCAAACGTCAGTGTCAAGGAAATTGTGCAGTTCCCAAGCGAATGCCCGACCAACACGAGACGCCATACATAGTTTAAGCAATAGTTAGCCAACAATCACACTCCTTTCTTCGCCACTGACGCGAATTCATGCAGTCGAGTCCAGCATCCTTTATCTATGAGCGCGACGGTGGCGCCGTGACGGCAGCAGTCAGAGGCAGGACTGCGCCTGCCTCGCATGGCCAGCCGCCTGGTTGGAGGCCTGCGTGCAGTGCCGCGAACGCTCACCAGGGGCGCTTCATTACATCGGATTCAACGTTGGCTGGGCGGGTGGGCTGGCTGCGTCTACGGCGCTGCGCAGTATGGTTACGAGGAGAGCGGAAAGGGGGTGGGGGAGGGGAGGGCAGGCCGTGTACTGCGCCGCGCGGGACGCAATAGCTGTTTCCTGTCTTGTTGGTGAGTGCGGGAGTACAAATAGCACGTTATCCTAGTTTAAGCGTGCGGGCAATTTCATAAGCGTTGTTACTACGGAGCTACTACTGGCGGCTTTATTTTCATGTTGTCCGATTGTTCTCAGTGAGACACTGCCTCAGTTATCTCTAATAATGGGTGATATCTAGTCAACAAACACCATGCTGCGCGGAGACACGCACGCAGAAGCTGTTTTAAACCCCACTGAGCGGGTATTACGCAACAGCTGCAGGTAATCAAACAGCATGGCTTAAAGTTGGGAGAGAATGCTCACACCAAAACCATGCAAGGTGGGGTTTTCAAACAGGCTTCAGGCCAGGTATCCCTCCTTCCCCGGAAATCGACGAGGCAGGTTTCCAAGCTAAATGACAACGGCTGTTGAATGCGTCGTTGCATCCCAGTAACATCTGGAACGCCAACAAACATGACGCATTGAAACATACTTATGGATACTTACGCATTTGAAAAGAATTAAGGTGCGCGTCTAAAAAGTCGTGTTTTTATGGCGCCAGCAAAGCATTGCCAAAGGACAGGATTCCGGCCAGCGCGCATGTTTCATCACACTAAAATCACTTAAATGCCAATAACGTTGTGCTGGACGCACGACTTCACTGATCCTCCCGGCAAATTCGGCTCCCTGGCAGGAGCAGGGTGTGGAAGGAGTGAGGGCGGTAGAACTCATTACGCCCCATATAGCTGTATCTCTGCGGGGTTAGTGTGATGCTTGGTGAAAGCAAGCCATGCCTCCAAACGGCGCAGGCGTGATCGCTGTTGCGTCCAAAAACACAAAACGTGTCCAAGGAAAAATAATCTAAGACAATACGCATATAAAGCACAAATATTTTGAATTTAACAGCTTGTCACTTCTTTGGATTAAGCAACAATATTTTGTAAATAACACGGTTTGTGTCTTGAACGACCAAACTGTGCAGAACAGCATCCCCATATTTTCTGGTTCCTAACACGACCAGAACATGGCTTCTTGACCATAAGCCTGCTGTCAGGATGCCCACCGCAGCACGCATGCACGCACGTGTCTATCGCGGCTTTCCGCGCTCGGTGGGCAAAGGACCCCCAGGAGACCCCAGCAAGCTGTGTCCACATGGTGTGTTTATGGACCAGAATGTCCATTTAAAGGGAGCATGCCACACCTTTGTATTTTTCAACCACTGTTGGATCAGACGCACACGATTTCATCAGCAACAACAGTTTTCTCAAAATCCTTCTGAACAGCTCAGGATTTGGGTTTGAAGTAGCCGGCCTTTTGGAAGAGATCTCACTGGACTTCATGCTCACCACTACGAAAGTATCACATTTCATTTGCCTTGCTTTTTCCAGCGTGTGTGCTCAGTAATGTTTGCAACACATTACTTTGTCAAAATGCCCGTGTGTAATAATTACTTCGGAAGACTGAAACACTCTTTTTAGCGAAAAATATGTGAAAACGTGAGGTCTTTATCTCGCGAATTCAACGAAACGTTACACAATGGTCTTGGTTTCTCCCCTATGGCGCTTACCACAGTGGATCTTTTCGAAGCGCACTTCATCTTTGCGAAACGAAGTATCACATGGCCTAAAGCGATGCAATGATTCAAACTTCAGCCAGTGCGCTACTAGGTAACTGGCCCTGACCGCCTGCTGTGCCTATCACAAACGGTCATTTGCACTGGCATCATTTATACCAGTAGAAGGGCCAATTTTAAGCCCACAGGCCCGCTATGTGCTGGTTGAAACAGCCCAAAGTGATATACCTAACCTGTAGGAGCTGAAAACGGTCTTGTACAGATTCTGCCGTCGTCATGACGACGGTGGTCACGACAACTGCGCTTGTCGCGAACTCGGGGTACACTCTAGGGTCACCAAGAAGGGAATAAGTACACTGCTATTACAAAGCGTTGACAGCGTAATTCGTGCAAGACAAAACAATCAATTTTATCTTGATGGTCAAACACTGGCAATACCCAGTGTAATTCGTAGGCGTCCTGAGGTTTTCGTAGAGGTCCTGAGGTTTCACCAGGGCATGTTTTTTTTCTTCAAATATGCCCTTCAGGTGGGACACTCCGTCTAAAGCCAAGCCGTGCCCGCAAGACCCATGCCGCCCGCAATGGGTGGCGCGTCAATGCAGCGATGGAGTGGGCGCGGGGGTGGGAGTCAGTCTCTAGTCGAATCACGCCCCCGGGTAGACGCCGGTCAGGGGCCGTCTACTGAAAGCAAGCCATTGAAACAAAGAACTCTCACCAACATTGGCACGCGCGTAAGCCAACAGCGCCACCGAGGTGGTGCAATTAATCCAGCCAGATTTGAACAGGGGCAAGTGTACTCCTAAATAAGCGACAATCGTCGCCCTCGAGACGCCACCGCTCGCGCGCTGCGATTTCCAATTCAGAGAGCGCGCCGCGCGATCGAACCCCATGATCCCCGTCAGCGCCGTGGGATAGTGGTCAGCGCCGGACCAGCGGACCTGTGAGAGAACGGCCACAGCACCACAGATCGGCACGGCACCTACTTGAACTTGGGCGGCTCCATGGGGTCCTTCTGCATCTCGACCATGCGGATGACGCGCTGCTTGGCGCCCGAGTTGAAGGCCACGCCCTGCTGCGACGGCGTGTAGCGGATGTACTGCGCCGGCGCCTTCTTCTCGGCCGCCTGCGCGCAGCACGGGAGCAGGGTCAGAGGCTGGCGCCGCCGACAGCAGCCGGGTCCGGCGCATCAGATGCAGCGTCAGCTCCTCGCAGCAGGTTGTCCGCTACGCCGTCCACCGGCGAGCGGCGTCCTAACACCGGGGTCGCCTCGCCGGCCGCCTCACCGGACACGGCGAGCCCATGGTACAGCAGCTGGTACAGACGCCAGCCGTAAAGCCACCTCTCGGCCGCTGTCTCGACTGGATACGCAAGTCTCATCGCGCCGCCAGGGGCGCCACCTCTCAACGCGAGGCGAAGGATCGGTTTCCAGCGTTTGCGAGTGCCCAAACACACACCCTTCCTCCAGCCAGGAGAATCCCACCTGATGCGTACACCACAAACACCTGCAGAGAGCGCCAATGATATCACACACCACACACCACGCCAATGACTACATCTGCGGGCAGTGGCGCTGCCTGTCTGCTCCCAAACGCAAACACACTGAATCCTACACGCAACCACCCGGCAGGCGACCATCGCTGGCCGTCGCGACCCGTCCCTCCAACACGCCCTCCGCCTGACCTGGACCGGCATGGCGGCGCTGATCTTCTGGTTGGTGATCTTCTCCAGCGCCTGCTGCGTCTTCTCGGTGGCCGAGCGGATCTCGTCGTCATCAGGTCGCTGCACCTCGTCCTCGTCCAGTACCTCGCTCGGCAGCAGGTCCGTGTACTTGCTGTACACGATCTGGGGGGGCGGCGGCGTGGTGAGACCCTCTCGCTGGGCACAGGATCGGAACGCGGTCTGACCATAGCGGGAGCGCCATGGTGACGTCACCATACACAGCCTATGCCGGGCTGGAGTTCGGTCGTCCGCAACTCTCCTGAACAATCAGACCGCGACTGTCCAGGCGCACACAGCCTTCATTACGCAGAGAGCCAAGTACAGGACACTACTTAGGTGGTGTGTTTTCCAAATCGAGCGCCACGCCTATCACTGCGCCCAATAGAAAAGACAAGAGGACGACACTGGTGGTAGCTAAGCACAGAGCTTGTCCAAAGTTAAGAAGTCGTCATTGTCACATCGGACGGCACAGCCTTGTCAGGTCGCAGGTCATGGGCACAGCATCCGCTCACCTTGTCTTTGGCGTGTCCCTGCCTGGCGAGCACGTCGTACTTGACCTTGCCCTGCGCGTCCAGCTGGACGGCCAGCACGTTAGAGGAGCCGGCGGAGGACGACTTCTCGGCGCCCATGCCCAGCGGGAACTGCGCCACGTGACACTCGGGGAAGGCGCCGCCGTTGCCGAAGTCCTGCAGCGCGGACGGCAGGGTGAGCGATGGCAGAGAGGCGAGCTAGGGTGGCGAGAGCCGGCTAACCAGGGCGAAGAGGAAGAGGAAAGGAAAAATCCTCTGCTCCTCGGAAGTGATGATAACTGAGGAAAACATCTCTGAGAGGGCATGATCATGACAAATGGATTCCCGCATACCAAAACATAGAAAAACGTTTAATAAACATAGCGTAAAGCTAGAGAACACCACAATTCTGTTTCCTGTCTATCCTGACAACCATGTTGCATTACATTGCATGGTTTCGTTTCATGCACCCATGGCAGCGTATCCCGGTCGGCAAAGGCTCCGGACACGTCACTTCAGCTAGGGAAAGTCAGGGCCAGCCTTAACACCATTCTTAATGTGGCATGGATCCCAGGAGCAATGTACCATATGCCCTCTCAGTAAATCTATGTGGGAGGGCTGGTATGCAACATAGTTTTGTTGCAAGACCCAGTGGCCCAAAGCAGAAAAGCAGCTAGCACCAAGGCACCAGAACACCAAACTGGTATGCCCCAGACAGACTTCTCTGGCCACTCATGAAGTTGAGACGCCCCCCAAAGATAATATGCAAAAGCATGTGTTCAATATGCTACCCCTCTAGATAGTTGTTCTGCTGCTGTTGGCCACAGTGCAGACACAGAGGCCTACTAACTAAAGAGTGTACCCTTTTCGCGACACCGCACGTGTTCAAAGATAGCCAGTGACACAGACGAGCCCTGGTACATGACCTGCCCATTAGTCGTCTGCCGACGCCGTGCTCTCACCGTCTGATTGCGGGGCATCCAGCTGGCGCGCTGTCCGTACGGCGGCGCTGTGCCGACGGTGGCCACGGCTCGAGAGGTGGGCGCCGGCCGCTTCTCCTCCTGCTCCCGGTCCCAGGGGCGCTGGCTGGGAGCTGGCAACATCCTGTGGACAGGGCAGTGCAGAGTGACAATAGTGATTGGAGGGTAGCAAAGAGCATATTAGATGTGCATCATGCTAACAGATGCAGGGTGACAATTATAGTGATGGAGGATAGCAAAGAGCATATTGGATGAGAATCACTCTAACAGATATGACCAGATATAAGCACCAAAAAATGTCAAGATAAAGGGTGGCCAAGATAGGAGTTCAGATCCTTATTAATGCATGAATAGTACAGGACAGCCCTGAATGAAATTCACCCTTTTTTGTAAGGTGGCATGTTAGGTATGTGTGTTGCACATGTGACAGCTCAAGAAAATGGTTTACCAATTTATGACAGAATCATAGTCCTGGAAAGATATGTTCAACATGTTTCTGATCTTGCAGAACTATCATCATTTCCAGGCCATGCAACCACACAACACATGTCTGCATAATTACAATGGCATCAAGGGGGGGTCACATAACAAGACAATTTTTATGTATAAACTAACTGGAAATGCTTCTGTCACTCCATTGGTTAAATACCAGTCGATCAATGTGAGACGACACAGCCTGTAACATGACTGGAATGAGTCACAGGGAAGGCCCTTTCAGCATATCCAATGGGGATAGATTAGAATGGGATGAAATCATGATCTGTGTTAAGCAATACATACAACAGTGAATTTGGGTATTTTGGGATTTTCAGCATGGTGATAACTATGATCTTTATTATCACCTGGCTTGTCTCTCTCTACAAAAAGTCTTCCTAGTGGGGTAAGCACTACTGCATCATATCTTTTCATTTATCTGCCATATAAAATTTTGCTGATAGAAGCCTGACATTGATGATTGGCCTCTGCATACAATTCCTTTTAGCTAAAGACCACTGGCCAATTATCAGTGTACATGATGTGAAAATATAGCATTCTCTTCCATTGAAAGGTTTGTCAAGGTAGTATTCTAACCAGCATTAGTCTATAAAAATAGCATTGAATGGCAGAGGCACAACCAGAATTTGCTATGGCCTGGGCAGGGGGAGCTCTGCGAGTATGTGTTCAACAAATTTTCAACTTCTTGTTGGAGGCATCTATGGTGACAAAATGTAGGCCTGAGAAGGCATTGACTGCACCCCTGTTGCACTGCTGCATGGAACAACCAGGGCAACCATATGAGACCACACTATCAGATGAAAGCTTATCACAATGGCTTCATATCATCACTTATTACACTAAGGCTTTAGATTGTTTTTAACAAGGCTAGGTCAGGCCAGAACCTATCAGGCAGGTCAGACAGGGAAAGCTTGGGATCATTTCTGCATATAATTATAAATAAAACATTTATGGTGTTGACACCATTTCCACAAATATACTGTATGTTCACATACTGGCACAAGACCAGCTATGGGTATTTAAACCAAGACAGGTCAGGTCAAGCAGCAAGAAAAAATAACTGTGCTGGGCACTTGAACAACATTGATGCATTAAGCCTGGGGAGTGCTTGCAACTTATACAAAACTAGGCCCATTAATGAACCTAACTGTTAAAACAATGTTTGCTTTTGATATTGTTGCAGCAAGGCTTCTGCTACAATATACATGTTCAATTTAATGTTTATTTGGCAATTTGGAGGAGATGGGGCAGAACACAGAAGAGCTCCACAACAGAGTACAATATTGTTTCATTCATTGCATGACTGTGCAATGCTTTGGACTACATGCTTTGTAGTCTTAAGTGTACCTCAAAAAATGTCTTATGCCTAACATATACATTGAAGTAAGGTCCTCCAAGCAACAATTTCAGTGCATGCATTCCACAAATCTTGAGCTCCAAGCTTGACACATCAGCACTACCTATTTTCAGTGCTGAGGGACCCAATGAATTAGGATTATAATAGTGCTATTGATATTTCACACATGCATATTCAAATAAAATTAAAAACCAAAATAAATTTGCACTAAAACACCATTTCGCCTAACCTACATATCTAGCACACACATGCTCCAGGTTCAACACATAAGCATCACTGAAGCATGCAACACCACGGTGGACGACAACTCATAGACTGGCTATGGCAATGGACAATGTAAATTGGATATCACGATAATAGAGATGAGAGTCTTAATTGGTAAGCATTCAGTGAAACATGACTGACTAAAATAAAAAACATACCCATTTCATGCACTCTTAGCAAAAGTGAGACACTATAGTAAATTGTAAAAACACAGTACACGCTCACCTTTGCAGGGACTCCATTTTGATAATGCAGAAAGGTTTTATCAAATTAACCTTAGAAGCAGCAAAATATATCCACTTTGGACGCGGTGTAACACGAACACTTCGCAACCACCTGTCCCCGACTACCGAGATATTTCACGCTGTGGGGCCGTAAGCCACGAAGTACCCTAACACGCAACAACACACAGTATCCCTCAACAACCACCATTAGCACTCAAAGCGCTGTATTTGTCACAGTTCGGCATTTTTGTATGACGTAATACTGCACCCATAAACACATTAAATCCTTAAAAAGTTAGTAAAACAAGTTATAATCCGATATATTTATTCCTATTCAACTTAGTGCAAAATTATATTATTTAAGCTCAATAAAGTACATAATTGAACAATATTTAGTGCTATGACGCCATTAGGTTGTGCCCAATCTTAGGATGGAATTTAACCTAATTGTCTCAGCACCCTCCACGATGAAGCAGACGGAAAGAATGCACCGCTAAATAGTCCGCTCCCCTTTGCACGTTATGTTGTGTCACGAGCTAGTTGGGGAGTTATTTTTGTTTCAGATTTCCTCCACGGCGGACTAGGTACGAATTACCACATTAGTATATTCACAGTTGCATGTGCTGGGAAGCCCACATGACTGAAGACTTGGCTAGGATGTTTTTGAAGTCCAAGTGTATTAGATGTAACTCCAGGCATTCTGGCGCCGGTGCAACTGGTGGGGCGGGTGTTATACGTGATATTGAACATAACTATTTACCATAGCTCTGTACTTGCATTTTACCCAAGACTATGATTTAGCGCAACATCAGTGCATTTCATGTCAAAGTTATTGTGATAGCAGATACCTGCAGATTCAATAAGTAAGATGCATATTGTGAGCTTATATTTGTCCAATGTTGCAACTAGCATTGGTCAAAATTTTGGGTCAAGTCTGTTGCATAGTGATATATCATGGGCTGAAATAGCAGCCCCATGGTATGTGGAGCTAATTAATTTCAGTGACAGATGGTCCTCAGTGAAGATGTGAGAGGCCAACAAAACAGTTTTTGCCTGATCTGTGCATGAAGACTTAAGTACTGCCTTCCTTGGCCCAGTAAAATTGAGACCTGTGCCTTGCCCCATGTTGAATGGTAATGAGTTCTGAAGTCAATGCTTTTGTATGTAATCAAGGTTAGTTTTATTCCTTTGACAAATGTGTGATCCAGGGTCAAAGTTGATTCCACAGGGAGGTCGACTGAGCTTCCCTTCTTACCAATGTGACAGGCACATTGTACCAACAGCTATATGGCCCCATCAGCTCAGTTGGCTAAAGCTGTGATGATCTGTAGGGCTGAATCCATGGTGAATGTACCAAAGTCAAACTAAAGCAATGACTGATATTCTCCACCTATGCAGAGAAAGTGGAGCACAGAACAATTTTCTCATACCAATAAAAGATGTAGATACTTCATGCAGATACTGTTTGTAGGTATCCTATAGAGTTGTAAATGTGATCAATGCTTAACACAGGAGTAGACCCAATAAGGATCAATAAATGCGAATAATTAATCATCCGGTGTGAATCACATGATGCAACAACTAATAGTTATTTAGAGTTTGAGATCTCAACATGACAAATTTGCCTATTACAGGCTGCTGGTTCAAAACTATAAAGGAGGAACCAGTAGTCTGGGTAAAGTATTACCTATTTGTGAGCTTAATCTAGTCTGTTCTGGGGTATATTATTGCAAGGGTCAAGCTAACCATGTGCATTCTGTTACATTGTTATTTTGGTAAAAACAAGCTCTTTGCTTGCATATTATGGTCTTGCAGTATGAATGTCTTGATGTTTGGCTGACATGATCATTGATCATTTTTGCAGGAGGTAGCATCAGATATGGATAATGCAGATCACCCATGGAAGAGCTGTTTGTTATGTGCAGCAGATGATGGATTTCATTCTCCAGAGGCTTTTGTCAGGTATTTCTGATTGTATGTTTTCTGATCCTGAAGATGATGCTTGATTAGTTTAAATCATATGGCTCCTAAATTATATTTATTTTTAAACATAACATTGTTTGATGTTAAAAGCCATCTTCAGTGGCAGTCAGTAGTCAGTATACAAACATTTTGGGTTAAACTTGGTTAATGATTTGCTCATTAATATTAAAACTTTTTCAGTATGGTGTCAGCTTTGATTTCCAGTAAATTTAAACAGTAATAATGACTTAAAGTGACCTGAAGTCATTATTGGTATCTGCCACTCTGTTAATGTGAATCAGTACTTGGGTCTGCTGATCAGTTCTTGATTCCCATCCAGGCAGTATCATGTTATCAAAACATAAGATCCGGCTAAGTATATCATGATATGAGTCAATATGTATGTCTGAGTACATCACATTTATTTGTAGTCTGGAGCCTCATCACTTATATTGCAATCCACTGTTTGCAGGCGGTGACTCATGAAGTGTAACACTGTGGGCCTCACTGTCACTTGGGTGATCATGGCACATGACTCATGCTCAGTTTCTTCTCAATTTGATTGTGCTCCCCTAGGCACCTGCGGCAGAAGCACTGTCGCCAGGAGGGCGGCTCCTTCGTCTGTCACTATGGATACAACCGTGTCTGCTCTTCACTTCCACTGGAGGGTGTCAGCGATGTGGACTACGAGCATCACGTGCTGAAGCACCATGTCTATCCAAAGGGGGCAATTCGGAAAGGTGAGAGCAAGGTCCACATGCAGACAATACTGGTTGCAGAAGCCTGAACTCCTATGGCATCACCTGCATGTGTTTCATTGAATGCAGTCACAAGTTGGAGTTGGAGTTAGTCTAATGACACTTGCCACCAACTTTTCTGTTCGCGTGAGGTCAGCATTGTTGGCTGTGCATCCAGTCAGACACAGTTACACACGGTTGCAGTCAGCTTACTTGCTACCTCAATGAAACATAGCCCCACCAACTTGTGCTGACTTTTTCATAAATTGGAAGGCATGGGGTTATCAAATTCTTGAGATGCATTAATCATGATGTGTTTGATGATCACCCAAGATTGTTGCATCAGCCTTGTTTGGATTGACAGATGACCATATATCAGGATAACCGACGTGATAACTCGCGATTTGGCTCGGCCTGCACCGCTGCATGCCATAAAACACGACATGATGTCAGCATGCAGCAAAAACTACATAATCTCTTCGACATTGCTCCTGCTTGGCTTGTGATTCCGCACTGCCCAGACGCGAAGCGCATTCTTCCTACCGTCGCCGACTGTCACCCCCGCCTCTCTCGCCTCCCCAATTTTTGTATTCCCCCCCCCCCCCTCCCTTAGACTCGGCAGTGGCCGCGCCGGCGGCCGTGTGACCGTTCCGCCCGTGTGTGCGCCTGAAGGTGGCAGCTACTGTGCCCCCACTCCCTCACTCCAGTCTCGGCAGCGGACGTGTCACCAGCCGTGTGACCATTCCGCCCGTATGTGCCGCCAGAGAGCGGCAGCCACCGTTCCCCCCTCCCCCACTCCAGTCTCGGCAACAGACGTGTCACCAGCCGTGTGACCGTTCCGCCCGCGTGTGCGCCTGAGGGCGGCAGCTACTGTGCCCCCCCCCCCCCCCCCCTACTCCAGTTTCGGCAACGGACGTGTCACCAGCCGTGTGACCGTTCCGCCCGTGTGTACCGCCAGAGGCCGGCAGCCACTGTGTCCCCCCCCCCCCCGCACACTCCAGTCTCGCCAACAGACGTGTCACCAGCCATGTGACCGTTCCGCCCGTATGTGTCGCCAGAGGGCGGCAGCCGGACGTCGTCTGTGTCGTCGTCGTCTTCGTCGCACCAGTCGGGCGCCGCGGCCGACGGCCTCCGCTGGAGCCTGCACAGCGCCGCGCAGAACCTGCCGGCCGTGCTGAACGACCCGGGCCGCGGCAGACAGGTCAGCGGCGTTGCGGGCGAGGCCGGCGGAGGTGGCGGGCACCGGGCTAGCGCCGAGTTTCGTTAAATTAAAGTATGGACTTACGCGCCTTTTATTTGTGTCGTTATCATATGGACGCAGACCCATACAGCAGGCGTCGGACAAACGACGCGTCATATTGGAGAAATATAGATGGCTATGACGCAAGAATCTAGAGATCAAGTACAATCGGTTTGTTTACCACTCGTGTGCTAACGCGCCACAGTTTGGAAGTGTGTATGTTTATAGCTTCGCTTTATGGAACTAAATCCAGGCCAGGCGTCCGAAGAACGAGCGAGGCGCGTTTAATAGGACTGTGACTGAGGTGCTTTGCAGCAGCAAAGTCCAGCAGCGGGGCTGGGCTCATTCTGGCGGTCTGGAGGCCAAGCTTAGGGTATGACCATGGCCTGGTATCAACGCTGACGGCGAGGGTATTCGTACACAATAGGTGCGGTTAGGGTTAGACCTGCGCGAGCGTTGTGGCTCTGTGGTGAAGTGCTTGATTTACAACCGCAGTATCGTGAGTTGGAGACATCATGCCGCCGGTGTTTCGGTGTCCCCGCCGCATCTGTGTGGGATATTGGGACGCCAATAACATCAGCATTGCAAGGCGTCGTAGGTGGCCCAACCGTTGCAAGTTGATGGCTCGGAGGCGGGGACGGTGACGGAGCGGGCTGAGGTTATGAGGCGCGCGGTACAGAGCGTCCCTCGCGGCCCGCTGAGGTTCCGCCGACGGCGGCGCGCTGGCACCACCGTGTCAGCGCCATGTCGGATGAGTGTCGCCGGGGTGCCGGCGCGCGCTCCGCTAACGCCCGGGCGGAGCAGCCGACCCGGCCGACTCGGCGCTCACTACTCACCGCTCACTGCCCGTCCCGCCGCCGCAGCGGGACTTCTTCACCAAGACGTGGGGCGACGGGTTCGTAGAGCGCGAAGTTACGCCCTCGCCTCGGCTGGCCACCGTCACCCTGGCCGACTTCCAGGCCTACCTGCGTGACACGTCGAAGGTGAGTGACCGTGACATAGTCTGGCAGCTGGGGTCTGGCCGGAGGTCACCACGTGGCGTTCGCCGAATGTGGACATGGTGTCGTATACATACTCATATGTAGACCGAGTCGATTTACTCGCAGGTCAACACGGTGGATCGCCCTTGGAGTGGTTTCACGGCTCAGTCCCGACGCTGAGTGGAATATTCCGTAATGTCGCACATTAGCTTACGCTGGGATACGAGAGGCGTCTGTTACGGTGATGCTGGTGGGGTATTTTGTATTGGACGGAAAGCATCACCGCGTGCGTTGCTATGTCCAGGTCACTTCGACACTAGATAAACCCATCGCGTCACACTGAGAACTGTTTTGAGCATTCGGAACTCTGTAAAGATTACCAAGTGCGAGGATGCGGCAGCGTTATGTAGGCGACGCGGGGTGATGTGCGGGAATCATTTTAAAATTTGCCCATATTGTTTCATGTAATCCCTTCTCCCCACCATCGCCAGATAACGGTCCTTCCTTTTCAGCGATATAAGAAGCATCTAAGGAAATCGAACACCTTTAAAAAAGAATCCTTAACGCGTGGTCGAACAAAATTGTCACGGATTGGTGAACCAGGTGCGTTCACTTTCACCTTATAGTTAAGCGTCCAGTTCAGTGATAGAAAGTTCTTCCAATCCTCCCATCACGTTACATCGCGTTCCCGTTCTTGGATGGTATCCATTGCTTCATTTTTGTATTGGCACGGTGGCATGTGGCTGACAAAAATTCCGAAATTTGTGTCGTGGCGTGCGTTCGCTGTGCACTAACCGTCTCGTGTAGCTAACCGTCTAGCATGTGGCGCGTAGCGTGTAGCTAACCGTTTCGCCGTCTGACCGCCGCCGCTGCCTAACCGATCACGCCCGACCCGTTCGACTGGCCGCAGAGGAGGACGGCATGGGTCTGAGCAGCGTGCCGCGGCTCTTCTTCGACCCGACGTTCGACCTGTCGCGGCCGGAGGTGTTCCCGGTGATCTGTCCGGCTGCAGACGGCTGTGCGGCGACCGGCGGCGAGCCGCACCGGCCAGCCGCCGCCGCCCAGCGCCGACAAACAGCTCCAGGAGAAGGTGGGCGTCGGTGGTCACATGAGGCGCGCGGGGGTCCGGGGATGGCGCCCGGGCCCTTCCCCCTCTCCCTCGCGCCTTCGCCGGCCGCCCCTCTGCGGCCCTCGTTACGACTGGAAGACTTTGTTTTGAGCGGCGCGGGTCCCATCCTTTAACGCACCTTCGTATGCGCGTTTGTGTGCCCAGCGTGTCAGAAGCATAATCTTTCATTTTCTGACTGGCTTACCTAGTCTTTCTCGGTGTATTGCCTTCCCACGGGATGTGTGTAGTGAGTGGTTGCCGTGGAAACTGAACAGCGCGTGGTTTTACATATGCCACGGAAGTCACACACTTATGTACACATACACGGACGGCCGCACGCACGCACGTACGCACGCACGCACGCACGCACGCACGCACGCACGCACGCACGCACGCACGCACGCACGCACGCAAGCAAGCGCTTGTCGCCATGTAGTGTCATGTCACGTCTGTGCCGCTGTGCCCGCCGGCCATCCGACGGCGGCCCGCTTCTGCTCGGCAGCTGACCCACTACCTGGACATCGTGGAGGTGCAGATCGCCCGCCAGATCGCCGACAAGTCGGAGGCCTTTTTCGACGCCATGTCCTCGCACGACTCGCTGATGGAGCAGCTGAGTCAGGCGTCACGCTCGGTGCGCGCGCTCCGGTGAGCCCTCCTCCCTCCCTCTCCCCCACCCGTCTCGGTCCGGTTTAGTTCGGTCCGGTTTAGTTCGGTTCGGTCTGGTCCGGTCCGGTCCGGTCCGGTCCGGTCCGGTCCGGTCCGGTCCAGTGCGGCTCTGCTGCGCAGTCGTTTGTGGCCCACTGGGGTGGCCACAGGTGGTGGGGGGTTAGACGGGAGGGATGGGCTATCTATTTACGGCATATGTGAGGTAAGGTGGCACGATGCGAGCAAGCTCTTCTGCCTATCACCAGCGATTGAAATCCCGCAATATCCCCGAAACGTTAAGACTGTGCGTTCGAACCACGCATGCATCACAGGCTGCCGCTGCTATCCCTTCGGAGTCGTGCCGCCGGCCGATCCGCTATGTGACCGCTGGCTGTGGCCTGGGGCCAAGTCTGACCGCCGCCGCCGCCGCCGCCAGGGAGCGCACCAAGTTCACGCTGGAGCACGAGGTGACGGCGGCGCTGCGCGTCATCAGCGGCCGCCAGCGGCAGCACAACTGCGCGCGCGTCCTCAAGAAGCTGCGGCTGATGGCCACCGTGCACCAGACGCAGCCGACCATCCAGCTGCTGCTGACCACGTCCGAGTTCGTGGGCGCGCTCGACCTGATCGCCACCTCGCAGGAGGTGCTGGCGCAGGAGCTGGCCGGCGTGCAGGCCTTCAAGTGAGCGGCCAGGGCCGGGGTGGGGCGGGCCGACGGGCTGACGCCTCCACGCAGCTGAGCACCCGGTGCTGGTGGGGCGCGGCAGCCGCGCGCTCCGCGCACGGGTGCTCACGTGTGTGTCCTGTGTGTGGGGACGTCTCCAAGTGAAAATGTTCTCTCGGAGCTCGGATAAGCACTGTCAGAATGGATGGATCAGTTTCGTTAAACGTTCACAGCCAGCAACACTGCATACAAAAGCTGCCAGTAGCTGTGTCGTTGCTCACCAAGCAATCGGTCGATAACGCTGTCAGTAGCAATGGTGTCATGCAGATTTCATTAGTGGTGGATTCTGTGGAAGTGTGTGGGCGCGGCGTGCGTCGGGATAGTTCCCTGCTCCTCAAGCGCAGCATTGACGCGTGTTTTGCCCGGGTCACTGCGTTGGCTGCGCATGACACGCGATGCATGTTTTAGTATCGCTCTGTACCAGAAATCGAGAAGCTGTTCGTTGATACATGCCTGATTCCGGTGTTCGGTGCAAGCACCACTGCCCGTTATTTTTGGCGGATGCCTCGTCATTGGTTTCCTGTTAGAGCGTGCGAACATACTATGCTGGCGACTGCGTGCGGCGCGCACCGATCCGCCGCTGCGCTGTGACCTCACTGCCGCCGTCGCCAGACACCTGAGCAGCCAGCTGACTGAGATGGAGCGAGTCATCGACAAGATGGTGTCGGCTGACTTTGTGCGGCACGTGACATCGGACCTGAACCGGCCGCTGGACCAGCAGCAGCCGGCCGAGGAGGTGAGGAGGACCCGCCGCTGGCTCCCTGGTCCTCGTCAGGTCACGCGGAGCTGGCCGAGGAGGTCAGATGCCTCCGCTCCCTGTTCCCTGCTCGTGGGGCCATACCGGCTGGGCTGGCTGGGATCAGTCGTGTTCTCCTCCCTCTGGTCTCGTGAGGTCACGCACGGTTTCCTAACGTGGTCTGGCGGTTCCTGTACCCCTCCCCTTCGTCCAGTCGCCCGCGGTGGCGGAGGAGTCGCGAGAGGCGCTGGTGTGGTCAGGTACCGCCCGCGCCCTGCCGTCTCCAGGGTACACGGACGATTGTGGCTGAGGGGGTAGAATCCCTCCCATCTCTCCCTGGCGCGGATTTTGTCGACAGGGTCGAGACTAGGGCTGAGGGTTCGAAGCATATGTGTTTCGAGTCCTGGCGCAAGCGGAATCCCGTGCGGATTGGGATAAGGCATTCGATTGGGAATGGGATACGGCTCAGTCCGGTGCAGAAGTGGAGAAGGCCGACTCCTTCTTCGCTGTGCTGAGGGGGGACGAGGCTGCGAGCCGGACGAACGCCCTTTGTCGTGATAACGTAACGGTGCGGGACGTGGCCAGACTGAACTCTGCGCTGAGACGCGACCTAGCTGTGCCACGGACGCCGCCTGCGCTGCACGGTCCGAGCGCTCCGTCGTCTGTACAGTATCTGCCTGTCGTTGGTGGGCGCGTGCGGTAGTGTTACCCTGTCTGTGCCGGTAGTTACGTATCGTTTGGGATACGGGCCGGTGCCGGCCTCCGTGGGCAAGTGAAAGGCGTGGGCGTTTTCGTCTCAAGGCCGGAACAGAGCTGGGGCACTGCGTCTGCCCAGGGCACTGGGACGACTACGCTGGCTAATGTGCACGTCGTGTTTCTGATTGCCCTGTGAACTGTCCGGCTCGTTAGAATAATGACGAACCATCGTTGTGAGATGTTGGACAGCACGTGTTGACCGTTGCCATGCGGCGGCCCCGGTAACACGTGCCGATGACGTGTGGCGGACAGGTGGTCGGTGAGCGGATCCGCGTGAGTAGGCACGTGCCGGGCGGCCAGTGCCGCGGCCCTGCTCGCTCGCCGCCAGCCGTCGGCGGCCGCTATCGCATGACACCGCTTCGTGTAACAGCCAGCCGAACTAACACCGGGGTGTTTGCTGGACTGATGGCTCTCACGGACCGTTCGGCCGGTCTGGCGTTTGGGCGGAGCGGGTCGCTACAGTGGAGACGCAGCGTCTCACGAGCACCGAGGCGTCTTCGGTGTTGGCTGCGGGAGTGTTCGAGATCGGCCGACGCTGCTGGGTGCTGGTGTTCGGTGATGGCTGCACCGAGCTGCACTGGATTGCTGGCTCCCGATGGCTGCTGTGCCTCCTAGCGGCGGCCATTGCGCCCCTGTTTTCGTTTTCAGTGGACTTCTTGGTGACGCCATTCTCGCCTCGCCGTTGGTATGATGCCTGGCTGCGTCGCGGCCACATGCAGCTCCACGCGCCCGCCGTGTAGCTGCCAGGCGGAGCACAAGACCACTCGGGCTTTATCAGTGTTCTCTACCCACCTCCAATGCTATACTATTGTTCAGGACCATGCTTCGATAGATGTTTCTAGTCCCTGCTTTGTCTTACCCACGCGGGCTGCTTCATGCCAGTCACGTTTCCATCCCAGCACGCGTCCTCCGCACTGGTGTGAAAGCGCCGGTCCAGCCTCGCGTAGGTGCCCAGTTGCTGGAGCTGCTGCTCTGTGGGTTGGTCTGGAGAAGCTCGAGATCGCAATGATCTGCATGGCGCCTACCTGTGTGTGTGTGTTGGTGTTCGCCACGTCTTGGACTTTCGATGCTGGGTAAAAATATCGCGATGACGTTAAGAATATGCGCATTAGACCTACGTTTTTTTCACTACCACCGATTTGTCAACATTAAATCCATTTCCGACCCATGACATGCCACCTCTGTGCGTGGCTGATATATCGTATGGTGACCTTAACCGGACCCTGCCAAGCGCCGTCCTCATCGGCGTCGGCACGATCGGACGCCGTCCTCGCCTCCCCCTCACCGCCCTCGTCGGCCCCGTTCCAGGAGCAGCTGGTGTCCATCATGTTCGGGATGCTCCGGCTGAAGAACTACAACATGGTGGGGGTGTACAAGGACGAGGCGTGCACCACTGTGCGGGCCGTGGTTAAGCAGGTGAGTGACGCAACCGGCGGCGGGGGGGGGGGGGGGGCACCTGGCGCGGCCGCCTGCCGCCCGGCGCCGAAGTGAGGTGAGTGGTGGTCGCGTCGAGTGAAATGCGTTGAGACGGTTTGAGTCCCCTGCGCTCTGTTTTGGACCGACGTGATGTCATCACGCATCGTAAGTCAGAGCTCTGCACAGACGTCATGTTTGTTGCCGACAGAGTGCGTCCGATCGTGCGTCTTTAAAACCCTGCAGCCTTTAAACACAAAGTGCTGAAACTAGCTTTTGTCCTTTCTGTGCGCGTTGATCGCACGAACAAGGCACCACTGGGCCACTGCTTAGGTTTGCGATGTTTTGTCGTGTAATCTGCGAGGGTCGTGCGGCGTGCCGTCTCGTGGTGCGCCTCCCCCGTCTCTGACGGCCGTGTGCCGCGCACGCCGAGCCGACTGACCACGGCCGTCCCCCAGACGGTGATCGAGGCGGTGGTGGCCGGAGAGCCGGCCGACGAGGCGCACGGCGACGGCGCCGCCTCGGACGGCGCCTCGCTGCACGACCAGGTGGCGCGCCTGGCGCCGGCCGTCTGGCTCAAGCTGCTGCGCCAGCTGTGCGCCAACCTGCGCCGCCTGCTGGCCAGGGTCAAGGTGGGCTAGCGCGCGCGTCTGGCTGTCGAGCGGTGACGCGGCAGGTGGCGCTCTTGGGAGCCCGCGGCGCCGTCGGCTTGGTTACGTGATGCTGCTGCTGGAGCATGCTGTGTGCTAGCGCTCCCGGTTTGGACGTGGTGTTTTTGGGCCCCTGTTGATCAGCTTTTGTTTTCTGCACGCCTTACCGCCGTAACAAGCAGTGCATTGGAGACGCTGCGTGTCATGATACAGAGCAACGCGGATTGGTGTGCACATCAGACCACCAATCTTCTTTTACGTTATGCGTATAACGTAACGCTATACGTTACATGTTTCAGACATGATAGCTAGGTCGCATTTCCGACATTGTAAGTTACATGTTACACGGCCAAACAGCCGCCTTCCCAAAGTTCGATCTCAGCGCAGCCCGGCCCGCCGGGCGTCTGATGACGACGCACCCGTGTGACGTCGCTTCATCTCCATCAGGCTGTGAGCGACGTCATGGATGACGTGCTGGACGCGGCCATGGGTCGACCCCGCGTCCCGCTCACCAACGGTGGCAAGGCGGACAACGGCCAGTCGCCCGCCCCTCGGCTCTCCATGTGAGTGGTCTGGCGGCGGTGCAGAGCGGGCGCGGAGGGGAAACAGGCCACCGTCCCCGGCCCAGACTGCCACGGAGAGGTGTTGGGGTCGTGAGAAGCTGTTAACGGGCGGTTTAGCACGCGCTGCGGTAGTTGGGCCGGTGCTTATGCGGAGATTGCGGCATAAAGAGACACCGTTCGTACTGCAAATGGCCTATAATCTCCAGCTAGGCGATAGGTTTGCTCCGTGCCCAGTGTCAGCAAAGGCTTGCTTAGAAAGTCGAAAGTCCGTCCGGCGCGCGTCCGCTGCCCGCCGCCGCGCGCCTCGGCCTCTCCACCTGACACCACCTGCTACCCGCAGCACGGAGGAGGTGGAGGGCGCCATGATGACGGCGGAGGAGAACAGCCGCGTGCGCGCCACCCTCTCGGCCATGCTGGGCGCGGTGTGTGACTACGCGCACGAGCGCTGCGGCAAGCTGCTGCAGGTGAGCCGCCAAGCGACTGCGGCGGCACAGCCGCCACGGTCCCCACCGACCTCGGCGCTCTCGGTCGGCCGTCCTCCTCGTTGCGTTCTGTTCGCGTAGCGTTGGGACGACGGGACATAGCGAACGTCTCTGTTAAGTGTGTGGTCCGTGTCGCCGAGCTGTCTTGTTCTCTGTTCAGTTCTCTGTCCAGTGGTGCTTAGTTCTCTGTCCATTGGTGTTCAATTTTCTGTCGATGAGATTCATTTCGCTGTCCAATGGCGCTCAGTTCTTTGTTCATTGGTGTTCAGCCCTCCGTCCACTGTTGTTAAGTTCTATTTCCAATGGGGTTCAGTTCTCTCTCTAGCTTCTGCGTCTCTGTTTCGCCCGTCCAGACCTCCCAGGGTCGGCAGTGGCGAGTATCAGTGGTCGTAGCCGCCGCCTCTTGGAGTTCCTGTCCCGCGCGTCCACATGCATATGAGGCCGTGTCTGACCGCTGTGCGTGGCCTCCTGTCCAGGCCCGTGTCCGCGAGGGCGGCGTCGAGTCGCCCGAGTTCCTGTCGCTGGCCACGCTGGTGCAGGACTTCGTTGCCGACTGCGAGCAACTGTGTGGTCGGCGGAGCACGGCCTTCCATCTGGCGCTGCAGGGCCAGGTGAGGCGCCGCCGCCGCCGCCGCTCGTGGCGCTGGCGGCTCGCTCGCTCGACTCCCGCTCCGCCGGATGTGGTGCCGTCTCCAAACTGTTTGAGAGGCGCCTCGCCCGCTGCAGTGCGTGTTGATGCCGTTCAGGCTCTGGCAATCGGACGCGTGCCGTTAGTGTGTCTCACAACAGCGCCTCGGATGTTAAGGCAGGTTTTGGCCGCGCGTGGCTTACAAGAAGTCTAGGGCATATACTGAGGAAGTTATGCGACTGTTTGATGGCCGATCCAGTTATGCCACGAGCGTTGGCTCCCAGCATCAAAACAGTCCATACATAATATGGACGCGGACCCTGACGGGTATTGCTGTATAGCAGCGTTACCTACACACGATTAGATTTGCGTGCCATACCCGCGCGGTCCACCAGACAGCTGGCACCAGACGCTCCAGTGACGATGCTCTGGTTTCCGATGCCGTGTTCCGCTGGACGACCTCTAACGGCGTGTGCTGTCCGTCTCAAGGCGAGCCAGTTCGTGCAGCGTTTCCACTCGGAGCGGAAGACCAAGCTGAACCTGCTGCTGGAGTCGGAGCGGTGGCGGCAGGCCGACGTGCCGGCGGAGTTCCAGGTCATCGCCGACCACGTCTACAGCACGGGTGAGAAGCTCGTCGAGCACGTCTAGAACACGGGTGAGAGGCGGCGGGTACGTCCACAGCACGGGTGGGAGGCGGCGGGTACGTTCACAGCACTGGTGGGATGCGGCGGGTACGTCCACAGCGCAGGTGAGAGGCGTCGAAGATCACGTCCACAGCACGGGTGCAAGGCAGAACCGCTGGCAGATGATGTGAACCTCACGGGCGAAAGGTGTTGCCCATTATGTACACAACACATGATGTGGAAGCCGTGTGCTCAGCATTGTATGCAGCGCCCGTGAGCCGGGCATCATGGGCCATCGGGGCAGAGCCAGTGCACCGTGCCGCTGCTAACTGTGTCCCGGCCCACCAAGGCTCGGTGCTCCTCTGTCCCCTGATCTGCAGGTCCGGTCTGTGCTGTGCCTCTGACCTGCTCCTGTCCCTTTCGTGGCCCTGACCGCTCCCTGCCACCTGCCGTGTTATGTCCCTGTCTCTGCGGACCACGTCCCTGACCACTTCATGACGGGTCCCGCCTGCCTGTCCACGCACGGCGCGCCTGTCAGCGGCGCCTCTGACCCCGGCTCCCCCGGCGGCAGGCTGTGCCGGCCTGCCGGCGCGCGTCTCGTGCCCCGAGTCGCCGGAGCGGCGGCCGGCCGACGTGCTGCGGCTGGGTGACCAGTCGTTTGTCGTCGTCGGCACCGTGCTGCTGCTGGTCAAGATGCTGCTCGAGTACTGCGACTGCGCGCGCCACCTGTCGTCGGTCAGCGCGGACCTGCTCAGCCGGCTGGTGAGGGGCCCGCGGAGGCGAGCCGGCGCGAGGGGGGGGGGGGGGGATGGATAAGCTGCCGCGCCCGGCGCGCCCTTTATGAGCCAGTGCATTTTAATTAGATTGGTAATGCAAGTCCGCAATGTAATGCGGAAAATGAATTGGGCTTCATATAGCTGGGTACATCGAAAAGATGGACGTGTCGTTGTGTTATAGACGTGACCGTGTCATGGGAGACAAAGTTTGGGCTTCGGTGTAAAACGGTGCGCATTTTTTCCGTATAAAACGGGGCACACGCTGTTCAAATCGGCGCCGTTAGAGACTTGGTCTCGGAACGCGCTGTTGGCCGACCTGACGCCTCTAGTCGTGTTCGGTCGACTGCGGGCGGGGAGGACGGCTCGCGGGCCGGCCGTCTGAACACGCCCGTGGTGTCCCTCCAGTGTTCCTATATTCGGCCTCTTGGGTGACAGGGATTTCGATGTTTTTTCATGCTTTACACCCCGGCTTGGGGTTCACTGCCTGTTGCCCCCTCCCCTGCCCAAAATCGGCCAATCAGCATCGAACCGGGCGGCTGTCAACCCGGTGTCTAAGCGCCCTAGGCTTGACAAACCGGCTGGGCAGGTCAGATGTCTGGGCTCGGGGTCAAAGGGCAGCGGATGAGTGCCAATGAATTGCGTGTGGGGGCCGCCGGATAGCCAGGATTCTACTAGCATGAATTCATATGTACATCCTGCATGCCCTGCCGGATGAATTTTGGAACGCTGTGTTCCTCCCCCGCAGGTGGACCTGCTGCGCTTCTTCAACTCTCGCTGCTGTCAGCTGGTGGTGGGGGCCGGTGCCATCCAGCTGGTGGGCCTCAAGACCATCACCAGCCGCAATCTGTCGCTGGCGGCCCGCGGCGTCCAGCTCGTGCTGCAGTACATCCCGCTCATCAGGCGTCACTTCGAGGTGCGCCCGCCTCCGCTTCCACCTCCGCGGCCGCGGCCGGCCGGCGGCTTGGTGATGTGTGGGTTTGGGCGTGGGTGGGGGGCGGGGGTTGTGCGACATTTCGCAACAATGGGCTTGGTGTAGCTTGTTGCCGTTTCATCTATATTTTACGAAAGGTCTAAAACAGAAGTGTAGTTTTCTCTTCAGTCGCAGGCTCCAGATCCCCCCCCCCACGTCCTCAAACTGGACTCGGCCCCCCCCCCCCCAACTCTGAGCAGAAAGTGGGCCAAATCCGTGGGGAGCTCGTGTGTTGGCGTATTTTATGGGTAGGTTTAGGCATTATTTTAATGCTTAACCTCCCCCCACCCCCACCCAGAGGTATCATGAAGTGACATTCCTGGTACGAAGTGACCCGGACGGCACGAGAAAATGTCACGCTTTTTATCACTGTGTGTAATGTCGGTGTTTCTACTTTCGTGCACGGTGTATGACATACGTGTCGGAGAAGCCATTGTTTAGAGGATCCTAAATATCACATATATATACATATATATGTATATATATATATATATATATATATATATATATATATATAAACGTGTACGATTGCATACATCAAGAAGTGGCCATATGCCGTTTGACGATTCTGCTATCGCTGTCCCAGTTTTTATACTTGCTTTGTTGCGGTGATGCTGGCGATGCGCTGAAGCCGTCTGTTGTGCGGGCTGGCCGGGCCGGGTGGCTGCTGTGCTTCCGTCGGCCCAGCCTCGGCTGACGCGGCGCCCGTCCGTCCGTCCGTGTTGTCAGGAGCTGCTGCCAGAGCGGGGCCGCGGCCAGCTGCGCCACCTGGACCAGGTGCAGGCTGACTACGTGGCCCACCTGGCCGAGATCGACACCAAGCTGGTGGTCATCATCAGCGGCGCCTGCGACGCCCAGCTCAACAAGTGGGAGGCGCGTCCGCCCGTGCCCAGCCAGCAGTTCAGGTACGGACCTTCCCTGTGCTTGGGGAGCGGCGCGGATGCCCCTCCCCTCCCCCCTCCAGCGCGCTCCCATCGTGTGTTTCATGTGCGGGCAGCCGTGCTCAGACCGTGACTCCGGGTCACGGGAGGGGGGGGGGGGGGTCGTGTCTTGTGTTCGTACGCAGACCACTGGGGTGGCGAGCGAGCCGGCCCGTCGTGACGCGCGTCGCTGGCGGTGCGTGCGGTCCGGCCGCGGCTGTGCTGACGGCTGCTGACCGCGGCCCGGCCGGCAGGGCGGTGTGCCGGGCGGTCAGCAAGCTGCACGAGGCCACGTCGGGCGTGCTCGCGCCGGAGCACAGTCGCCGTCTGTTCGCGCGCATGAACGGCGCGTTCGTGGAGAGCCTGCGCCGGTGCGTGGACCGGCTGGCCATCAAGAGAGACGGCGGGCCTCAGCATGGGTGAGCGACCCCGCCGGCAGACGCGCCGGCTCTGGCTGCGCTGCTGTCGCCAGCAAAGGGCTGAGCCGGAGATGTGGGTAATGCTATGGGATGATGGCAAGCACGGAGGTAAGGTCATGGGCGCAAAATAACCACAGCTGCCGGCGAGACGTCGATAACCAAGATATTGGCGAGTGCGTGGGAGTTCAGAGGAATTGGCGAGTGCGTCGTAGGTTGGCTTGAAACATTGTGTGGTCTGGAAGCCAGGTTGTCATTGGAGTGAGCCTACAACGGCTCATCCCATTGTATTGCTCTTTCACTCACCTGTCAGTCGTCGCGTGGTTTTCGGGTTGCGAATACCGGACATCCCTAAAGCATTCTGCCGCGCCTGTTCCGTACGCTCGGTACATCTACGCCGATGTCTTCAGACTGGTGACGTCGGAGCTGATCTTCTATCAGGAGCACCTGAAAACGCTGAACTTCGTGCCGGAGCGGCCTGTGGCCGAGCTGCTCTGGCTGCCCGACAAGGCGGCCGCCCTGCCGTGATTGGCTCGCGGTGGTGCCTGCTGCGCTGTGATCGGCCCGCCCGACACGCTGCTGTGCTGTGATTGGCCCGCCATAGTCGCCGCCGAGTCGTGATTGGTCCGACGTGGCCTCCGCCCATGCGTTATTGGTCCACGAGGGCTGTGGGTTGCGTGCATCATTCCGATACTGCCGGGGCGTGAGAATGCGGCTCCGAATTCACGCTTCGTCCGCTGGCGTGGCATGCAGATGAGCCAGTAAGAGTATGGAGTGATCAAAGCAGACGTGACCAGGTCAGACAGGGCGCCCTTTGGCAGGACGGAACGTCTCGGTGCCGTGCCATTGGTCGGAGCGCCACCGTTTGGCCGTCGGTGTTGTGCTGTGTGCTGGCGGGCAGTGTGTGCCTGCCCGCTCGCGCGCCTCATACATGTGATACCGGCGAGGCGCGCTTGGCGCTGCGAAGCGCTGGACCACGCCGCTTGCAGTTCTGCTGTGCGTTCCTTGTGTCTCAAAGAGAGCGGATGCATTCCAGCGCTGGGCAGGCGAGGCGTGATATGAAGCACGTAGCGAAGCGCGATCAGTGAGCGACGGGACATTCGCATGGCATGTTGGTGCGATCTGCTGACTTCAGTGCCTGGTGATGTAGCTTGCATTCTGTTTGGGCTTCGTAATATCCCGCTGACCAATGTGGTGTTTTGGCTGATCGGTTTGATTTATGATTGCCTTAGCCTGCCCGGCGACGTTATAACTTAGCACCATCAAAGACGATAAACCTCAGGACAACATATTGCGACGTAGTCGACACTGCATTTGCAACTGCAGCCTCGCTGTTTGGTGGACCTGCATCTGTCATGTGCAGCTTCGTGGTGCGTTGGACCAGGTGTAACGGTCGGGGATAGAACGCTACGCAGCGGCCAAGCCCACACAGCTCGACAGGTGACGCTGGCGTATCCACGGTGTTACCGCGTGATGTCGGGCGGACAAGACAAGTCCAACGTGCACCAGCTCGCAAGGATGTACTTTTTGTAACGTCAGCAACAGCGTTCTGCATCTGGGGGCCTGTTTCTCGTCTGTTACACCTGTATGCACCCGCTGTACCCATTCCGCATGCTGGCGGTGTCAACTCAGGCAGCTCGTAACTCGGGGTCCTTGGTTTTCTGGTGGTGTTTGGAAGTAGGGTTGCTACATGTCAGGTGCTGGTGGCCTTCCTGCTGCGGGCTGGTCCCAACCCACTCGCCCCAACCAGCCGCTCCCCCCAGCCAGCGGTCGCCTGGAACCGGAAAGCTCGCTGCTTCCATCCATTACGCGTGTTAGCCGGGACCGTATTCTTCATGGGGTTCTTGTTACTAAGCATGGGAGCGTTTGCATGCACGCACTTTTCAGCGGGAGTATTACTATTGCGGATCGCTGTGGCTCGGTCACAATCTTGCGTCGCCGTGTTCCGCCTCTCCCTTTCGACTTGTTCCGCATCCTCATCACGTTACTGCGGACAAAATTCAGGCTTGACGGCGGATCCAAATTCGGGACCACCCCAGACGCGCTGTGTCGAACGAAGCGCCGCAGTCTCGTCCCGCCACGAGCACCGACGGTGTAACGGCTGCGCCTGCCCGGGACCACGGGGCTCTGGGCTTGCCGCTGGTGCCGGTGGGTCCGGCTGGTCTGCGAGGCTGGCGCCCGCCGGCCTGTGGGAGGCCCGGCGGTGGGCCTCGCTCTAGCCGGGTTGTCTTCGCGCGGGAGAAGCGGCGGGTCTCTCGCCTCGCCCGTCGCGAACGGCGCGAGCTTGCCTGTGCGGCGTCGCACGCCTAGTCATGGGCGGATGCGCCATTGCGAGTTGTCTCGCGTCCTCGGCCTTCGACGTCGACGAAAATGCGATTTGGTGACTGTCGGTCGTGGCGCGGGTCGTGGGACGACCCGGGTGAAGGCTAGCCACCTCGGGCCGCTCTGCTCCAGGGTCGAGGTCACTGACCTGCCGGCCGTGAATGTGTCCGCGGGAAGTTCAGATGTGTTCAGGAAGAGGAGGGGCACGTGGCGGGGTTCAACCCGACGTTTCGGCGGTTGATGTGCAATAGGTGTTCACCTACGCAGCGCGAGGCCAGAGGTGATCGGGTGATGTGCACGTGGTAGCCTTTATTCCATTTGTTTTGGTTGTGTGTGCAGGTGCCGTGCCTCATGTGGAGTACGTCTTCACCGGAGGTGTACGCTTGGGTCGTGATTATCGCTATATTATGGGATGGAATGAAATACATGTATGTTATTCATGACACGATTTTGATTTGCATTGATATGATTGATATTGATACGCGTTTGCTTCAGCTGTCTGAGCAACACTCTGACTTAGGTGCAAGGAGACCTACCGCGACCAACGTTTTCCGATGTAGTGAAAGGTGCGGCAGTGCCTATCTTAGCATCTTAACTGAGAGGGGGGGGGGGGGGTTAATCCGCACACTAGTAAACGTCAAATCACCCCTTCCCTCTCCAGTAGACCGCGAAATCCCCGTGAAAGGCTTGATTTTCTGCCAGCTGCCGCCCGACCAGGTCTTTGCATGCATTCTGCATTGGACCAAGCATTGTGAGACGAGGCAGCCGCTCTTACATATCAAATAAAACCAAAAATGAACGGGAAGCTACTCCTGCGTGCCGTTTCGTAACATCGCTTGTTATCGATGTTATTTTGACGTGTTCGCGTCTGTCAGCTGAAATTTGATTGACGTAGACACGGACCGATATTTGGGTAAGGATATAACAAACAGGTGCTAGTAGTCATCCTGGTAAAAGGCCTGCCGGATTTCGTTCAGACTGTTTCAGTTCCATGAACAGCTGCGACCGCAAGCAAGATCAAACAGGCTGCGTAAAAATGCGGCGACTCCAGCTGGCGGGTTACCGCAAAATGTGCTTCGAACATGGCGTGTGTGACATTCGATTGGAAGTGAGATCTGTCCTTTTACCTTGGGGATTGTCGGCCTTGAATCAACTGCTTACGGGGGCGAGGAGGCAATGGGTGCAGCCTTCCACTTCTCCGCGGCTTTTCGGTAGAATGTTGGAAGAAGCAAAAAAGTCTAGAGCGCGTGGAGGGATGGGTGGTAGGAGGCGGAAACACATCCTATCGGAGTACGGATTTGTAATGTTACCTTGCGTAGATGAGCATTTGCTTTGGGAAATCAAACACATTGTTAAAAAATTAAAACCTCGCGTACGCACAGCTCGAAAGAACGACAATAAGCTTAAAAAGTTTCTGGTGAAATTCATCTCGAAGCCCAAGTGCCTGGGTGGCAATAGATGTCATTTATGCAGTTCTGGGTTTCGAGGGGTTTGCACGCAAAAACGTAGTTTACGAAATCAAGTGTAGACTGTATGAAAAATATGGGAGGCACATAGTCTATATCGGGGAGTCCATGCGCCCTATTCGTTTGAAATATAATGAACACCTGTGAGGCGCCAAAAACAAAACAGGGAATACCCCCTTCGGTGACCATTTATTGGCAAAAGTTGATTGAAAAAAGGTTGAAATCCAGAGAGGTGTGGACCCTATGCCCCTTTACAACTCGAAGTAATCTACAGAGCACAGGACCACCCAGACAGGAAAATAAGTGAATCTATTGTCATAAAAAGTCGGCGACCAAATCTTAACATAAAGGGTTCGTTATGGCCGATCATGCGAACGTCCTATGTGCCTTTATGTATGATGTCTGCTAGCTTAAAATCGTTAACATGTGTAAGTGACGCCCGACATGTGGGGTGCGATGCCTGTTCAGTTGAAATCGCTTGCATGTATAGCTGATGCGCGATGTGCGATGCCTGTTTACTTTAACTCGCTTGCATGTTTGAATGGAGCGTGATAAGCGATGCTTATGAGCTTGAGTTCGTTTGAATGTACACGTATTTTCGCGTATTTTAATTCTTAGATAAGTACTGTATGTGGTAATGGATGACAGTCAGTCTTTGTTTAATCCTCTGAATGTTGGTGTTCTGTAAAAACTGTGGCTTCCTGTTAAAAAAAAACTGAAAAATCGAGTAGGATGATCGGCAGGCAATTTTTAGCTCACTTCTGCTATTGTTCCGGTAAAGGCATGTTGCCGAAATATCAACCTAACTATATCTCCATTCTCTCGATTTTTCACCGAGCTTAAACAGCCTAACTATATCTCCATTCTCCTGATCTTCCCCGAGGAATAAGGCCATTACTGCTGTCATACCTAGGGTGCCGAAGGCAGTCTTTTGTGGTGGCCATGGGCAGCGGCACGCATCTTTGGTTGTGGGGGACAGGGACAAGTCTAGTCATGAAGGACTTTGGTCATGCCCGCACTCCGGAGCTTTTCAATTTTAAGGGAATGTTCCACATTCGAAGATACTAAAGCACGCATTTGATGAACTAATCTCACTTATAACGATTCGTATAGTTTAAAGTGGAAAAACTGCTCCAGGCAACTGTGGTGTATGGCAGTTGTTTAGGGCGCCTACGCGCCAGGCAGGTGGGAGTTGCGCGAGAGAGCTGACTTGGGATGGTGGCGCGTGGCGGGGGCGCGACATGTTCGGACGCCTCGGACGTTATATTATTGCTTTGTTGTTATTACCAAGGTATTGGGCAAATACTCACGGTAACTCCTGACTTAGTGTTTGGTCGGGCTGTGAGAGCTGACGATACTACAACGTATTTTTTCCGTGTCGTAAGCATGCTCCTCAATAGGTCAATGTTTGATTACGTCATCGCACCTTGCACAACATTGATTGAGAGGTTGAGAGGTTGAGAGGCACAACATTGATTGAGAGGACGGCCGTTATATCCGAAAATCGTGCTCACGAACGCCTAGATATGGATGACTAGATATTTATGTTTTTCTTGAACTTGATCGACGCGTGGCCAGTGGATTGTCGGGATTTGAATTGCTTTAGTATGGCGTGTGGATGCCTAAGTGACCTTGAAATAGTCTCATTTGCTTTCATAATGCCCGAAATTCAGCTGGGCTTAATCCTTTCCCCCTTTAGTGATAAGCTCTTAAAATAGGCTCTGACGTAATGCAGTCTTTCATCGCTCAATCAGGACTTCTCGGGCTTGAGCCTCTCTCATTGGCATGCGCTGGCCCCGTGCAAGTGCTCAGTATCCCCAAAACCCACCAACGAGTCTTTCACGCGCCATCTCACCTGTACAGGATGTTATCGAGTCCTCTGCAGGCCTGACTATTGCCTCCGGCGTGCGACAGGAGGTCTCGAGGCCACGACCGGGCCCTTAACACGTCACGGCGCCGTTAGCCCGCGCACGACTCGTATGTCGACACCCGACAGGAACCATGCTGCGTGCCTGGAGTGAGTCGGCGGTTTTTCAGTACATGGCCTCCAGATGATGGTCGTCAAGGCCGGCGGATTTATTTGGACAAGTCTGTCTGGCTCGTGGTACGCCGGCTGAGCACCCGGCACTGTGTGTGTGGAGCCCGACAGTGCGATCAATAATAGCGAAAAGTTAAAATAAACTAAAGGGAATGACGTCGACCCGGACCCGGTAACCTTGATGCCGGCATGAGGCTGATCGAGGAAACCCGCCGAATGTCCGCTTAGGTGATCAGCATCTGCTGTCTATTCAGTGGCTTCCACAGCGGCTAGGTCGTCAAAAAAACTATCCGGAAGATTTCGTCTTCCAAAACTGAAGCAACCAGGAGCTTTCGAGGTTGCGGTACGTGCATTAGGGTGTGTCATCAGTAACAAAACCAAGTGAGACAAATCAGTTTTTGGCGCAAGAGTCCAGAAGTACACAGCATAGCAAAAGTTCTTCTCAAAAGCTTAAATTCGGGAGGCGCGAGGCGATCGAAATATCGCCGTAAACCAACGCCCGCCGTTGCAGTCACCCCATGCTGGGCAGCGTCCGCCGCCGCAGGTAACACCAAGCTGTGAGCGGCAAGCGACACAAAATACCTTTGCGTATAGAAATGACGCTACCGAGCGCTCCTTAAGCCGTCGTAAGAGAATGCTCCGGTCTAAGATTTAATATGCGGATCAGACATTGCCCGATTAATTGCCATTTGGCGGAAACCTTAGGTGCTGTGGAGTATGAACTCGTTGTACGCGTATGCTGGTTAGTATTGATTTTGACTTTTACCTCTCTAAGACAACTCACGTGATGCAAACAAAACCATGCATAGCATACCACTCAAGATATATTGTCTGGTATGCAACTGAATACATACAGCAAGTTCTGCAACCCGTACCACGAACGTTGAGGGGTGGGGGAGGGCCGGTAGGGTGACCCCATGCACATCTTGCTCCCTGCCGAGTCTGTGTATTCGATGCACCGGCCCAAACAGCAACTGCTCACCGACTGGAAACCCCAAACGCGTGTTGGCAGATATCGTACGGTAGCAGAAATACCGTCGCAGCTGGGCTCCACATATTGTCGAAGCTCCATCTCCAGCCGCAGACGTCCACGGCAGTGCGGCGCTGCGTCGCACTCCTAGTGTGGACCAGGTAGGCAAGATGGCCAGCGGTGCCTGCACTTTGTCCCGCAGCTCGCAGTCGCTGAAGTCTCGCAGAAAAGGTTGTGTGACTGGTCCGTGCCAGAGAATCAGTTCGGTGTACCTCACGGCCTCGATGTTTACCGCTGAGATGGCGAAGACCCTGGCCTGAAGAAGACCCTCGGTTTGCTGCTCACGAGCGGCACGACGATCGAAACCGCGTGTTCGCGGACCATGCGGTTCTCATCCCACACCATGTCCAGCAGCAGCTGCTCCGGACGGACCCAATACCCGCTACGCTGGAGGACTATGTGTGCTGCAGCAGGTCGCGGAGCACCGCGATGTTCCGGAACAAGCTGCGTAAGCCAAAGTCGCAGCAGCTGTTTTGCCGGATGGCGGATCATACCGGCACATAGTGGCCGACCACGCACTGGACGAGGTCCTTGAGAGCGCTGCTGGAGGTCTTGGTAGAGATGTGAACTAGGAGAAGGCGAGCGGTTAGTGTCAACCACCTGAAAACAAAAGCGAATATATTAAAACAATTTGCTACGAACTGAGCGTTAGATCATGCAAAAATTATTGTGCCCCTTTAGTGTACGTAATTATGCCGGTATCCTGAGTCCTTAAATGTGACGGAATGCATATCAACAAAGATGCTAGTAAGCATGAACCAACCAGAAAATGATGCGACGTAACACGGCACAAGGTATGATAATAAGTAAATGCTCAACAGTGAGCACACGAAATGTCAGTTGATACTTGATGAACTTCAAGCACTGATTGTCATAAATTCAAGGATAATGCGTTCTCATATTCAC